AAATACCTGTAAATCTGAACTTATTGTTTTATCCAATATTTATATGACGTGTTTTACTTCACTCGAAGTGATTTATTCCTAGTGGTGCTTTCGAACAACATACGAGTCCTGTACCGGAAATAATCTTATATCTTTATTTAGGTCTAGGCCTAGTACCGACTAGTAGTTACGTACGATCTTGTATAACTACAACGTATGTAGTAGATGCATTCTTTTAAAGATATCAATAATACCACGGACTTATATCTATATTTATAAGTCCGTGATAATATACTTTGATCATAACATGTCCTTATATTATCTCTTTTATCATATATAAAAACCAGGTCAACTTCAAGTACATGTAACATACATACACTATCAGGCCTGTCTCACTATAAATAGTGTGATGAAAAAAAAAGTATTTAGTTCTGTAACCAGTTCATTATTTTTAATCCCATTCCTTTTTTTAAGATTTTTCTTTTTTTTTTTTGCAGGTAAACCATCAAAGATTTTTGATAATTTATCCACATGTAGTGTCCAAGACAGTCAGCCACAGGTGTGTGATTGGCTTCAGAAAGATGACAAACCTGTTCACTTCTTCAAATTAGGACCTCTCTTCCCTGCAGAATCAGCGAAAGACCTAATGGAGGTTAGAAGTCAGGAAAAGGAAGAATTGTTGAAGAAGTTAAATGCAGAGTGTCAGGAGCGGACAACAGAAAACCTTACATTAAGGCAACATATCCTGGAAGGGCAGATATTCAGTGAGGATGCATTCAGAGACAATGACAAGAAGGTAAACTGCTTCACAGGGCTTCCAGGATTTTTAACTTTGATGACTGTGTTTGACTTTGTGAAAGATTACATTCCAGATAGCGGCCGTGTGACATTCTCAAAGTTTCAGAGATTTATTATGACTCTGATGAAACTGCGACTTACACTCTCCCTTCAGTTTCTTGGATATATCTTCAATATCTCACAGCCCACCGCATCAAGGACATTCCTAACTGTATTGGACGTTTTATACATTAGACTGCGAGAGTTTGTTTACTGGCCAGAGAGAGAGGAACTGAGACTTTCAATGCCCATGGAATTCAGGAAGCATTTTGGCTTGAAAGTCGCTGTTATCATTGATTGTTTTGAAATCTTTATTGAGCGGCCTTCAAATCTTCTTGCAAGAGCAAAGACATGGTCTTCGTATAAACACCATAATACTGTAAAAATATTAATTGGAATAGCCCCTCAAGGATGTATAACCTATCTGTCAAATGCTTGGGGAGGACGCAGTAGTGACAAGTATATTGTGGAAAACAGTGGCTTTTTAAAGAAACTTCTTCCAGGAGATATCGTACTTGCTGACCGTGGTTTCGACATTCAGGAAAGTGTCGGTGTAATGTGTGCGGAGGTTAAAATACCAAGTTTTACTAAAGGAAAGAGCCAGTTGTCAGCACTTGAGGTAGAATCCACAAGAAACATTGCACATGTCCGCATTCATGTGGAACGCGTGATTGGACTGGTTAGGAACAAGTTTACAATTCTTTCAGATACTTTACCTGTAGACTATTTGATTGCGCGCACAGGAGATGTTCCAGCTGTAGACAAAATTGTTACTGTTTGCTGTAGTTTGACCAACTTGTGTGGTTCTATTGTGAATTTTGATTGACAATGAAAACACTTCATACATTTTACACTTAAAGTAGTGTATTTGTCAAAAGAATGTGAAATCTTGAAATTAGTGAATATGGCATTTTTTTCTGAATGATTTAGCATTGTCTGGATCATAATTAATCCATATTAAGAATATTATATATTATTAATATTTTATAACTCTATATTTAAATATTTGTTTGCAACCATATTGTGTTCAAATGATGATGCTGATTATAAGTACAGTCAAACTGTGTATAAAGGACACTGAGGGGAAATGACAAGTATCCCTTATAGACAGGTGTCCTTTATATACCCATACAAAACTTGGAGACAGAGGTTTTTCTCAGAAATAAGTCCTGTCTGTCCCTAATTAAGTATTAAAGTATAAGAGAAATCTTACTACAACCTGATATATTTTATATGACATTTTATTTTAATCTCATCTTTGTTTAGTTATTAAGATAACCACTTTGTGTATTTTTCTACATGATAACCAATCAAAACAAAAAGTTGAATATCAGCCTTTCTTGAACATGAGTGTGTATGATTTGTGTCTGTAGACACTTAAAGCAACAGCATCCCTTCCAAATCATTGACACTAGATAATTCTCTTGTGTATATGTAAACAATGACACTTAAACCATTCATTTTTATCATATCTATGAGTTTACTTGTTTCTTTGAAAACTATAAAATGTGCTTATAAATGATATAACTAACACTTGTAGTGATATATATATATTTAGATACAGTTACATGTACACAGAATATTCAAATGTTGTTGTCCTCTAAATAGAGGTTATTTTACATAGAAAATAGTGTTTGGGGGAATTTCTAAGTCTCCTTTATAGAGAGTGTCCTCTATATAGAGGTATATTATATAGTAAAACTTGTTGGGGTTCCTGAGACTGTCCTTTATAGACAGGTGTCCTCTAAAGCAGGTTTGACTGTATTAATCGTAGCACGAAATGTACATAGATGGTACTTGTAGTTTCTGTTTCTGCAGACCTGTCCTTTGTACTCAATATTACTGCCATGTAATGTATATGATCCCAGTGTTAATCATGAGGAAATATTAATATATTTTCAATAAATTAATTTTCAAGTATTTATTATGGCTTTGAATTGTTTTTATTAAAACAAGCTTACAGTAAGTGTTGCATGCAACACATGTCCCCTGCCATAAATTACAGTATTTATCTGCACAACTTCAATACGACAATTTCTGTTTTTAGTATCAGTGACCTTTATAGTTGACCTTTCTTCCCAAAACCATATCAAATAATTCATCACCTCATAAGCTACCATTGTATGAAGTTTCATTCAAATCCATCAATCCGTTCTCAAGTTATCATCTGGAAACCAACATATAGACAAACAGACTGACAGAGATAAACACTATTGTCCCCCCTGGTTTCACCAGTAGGGGACTATTAAAATGACTTAGGTCTTAAGTCAAACTAAATAAATTTGTCTACCAGGTATATTATGTAAACATACACCTGGAAACTCTTGATAATTGGAAACAACTGCTTGTATTTCTAAACATTGTATATCAGGTATTGTCATTTTGTCATATCACACCAATGACAATATGACAATATACTACTGGAGAAAACAATGACAGACACAAATAATTTAACTTTAAATACAAACAATTTAATTTCAAAAGGAGAGTCCATACATATGTACAATCACAATTAAATATTACGTTCCATCTAGTCTGAAAAGTTTAATACAAATTTAGCAATTAAAAAACTTGCCAACAATTTCTATAAAATTTCATCATCATCATCATCACAATCATCATTACATGTGGCATTGCAATCATCATCATCATCATCACATATGGAATCTACTTTAACAAGTTTAATACAAATAAAGCAATTAAAAAAACTTGCCAACAATTTCTATAAAATTTCATAATCATCATCATCATCATCATCATCATCATCATCATCACAATCATCATCTCAATCATCATCATCATTACATATGCAATCTAGTTTAAGAAGTTAAATACAAATTTAGCAATTAAAAAAACTTTCTATAAAATTTCATCATCATCATCATCATATCATCATCATCATCATCATATCATCATCATCATCATCATCATCATCATCATCATCATCACATATAACATTGCAATCATCATCATCATCACATATGTCAATGCAATCATCATCATCATCAATCATCATCACATATGGAATCTTTAGATCTTCAATACAGTACCCGCTTTTCCTCTTTCATCAATTTTAATACTTAAAAACTTTGGCTGTGAAAAAAAACTCGGCTTTTCCTTGGTTGAGAAAAAGAAAAAGAAACATTGTTGAAAACATCATGTTTAAGTATGTCCATGAAACAATATATATATATATATATACAAAATTTATAAAATTTACAAGTTTTCTACTAGCTATTTTCTACATAGTGCAAATAATAACTGGGACTTTTTGAAAGACTTGGGAAGAACAGCAAGTGCATTATACCTGATACTTTAACATACATAACATGTAGTTAATGTGAAGAGGATATATGTAGTCAGAGATATATTACGTGTTAAATTTTAACAATTCATCAGTTTCAATTAATGGATAAATTCAAGCAAAAGTAATGAAAAATATCTGTACAAAATACAAGTATCAAACAAAGTAGTCTGTATCATGAATTAACAAAGTAACATTAACATTGATTAATATTTACATGTACAATAAATTTACACTTAGTGATCGATGGTAATATTCATTTTATGTAAATAAATTTAGAATTTTAAAGAACAAAGCAAATTAACTTCTGTGTAAAGTTCGAAGTGGTAACACTTTAAATCACAGTTTAAGTTATAAACAGTTAGTGGAATCCTGAAGTCTGCATCCAATATGTTATGTGACACTGAACTATTTTTTCCTGCTGAAGACTGGTAGCTTCCTGCATTCTGGACAGAACCATTCTGCATTCTTCCTTGGGGCACGCTTTAAGTTCACACATTTAAAGTGAAGCCATTTATAGGAACAGTTCTGGTTGTCACAGCCAATAACTCTATCCTCTGTGTCATCATAGGGTTTTCTGCAAATGCAGATTGTCTCATCATCACCATTTGCATCCACTGTCGGTGTTGGTGTCAATGTGTTGGCAGTTTCAACTTTCTGAAGTTGTGTTGAAAGTACAGGTTTAGAGTAATGCTTACACAGTAACTCTGGAAGAACAGCACTTTTAAAAAACTTCTCTGCTTTCCCCCTTGCTTCCTCCCAAAAGTCCAAGTCTGGCTGAATTCTCTCTATGTGGATGGCTTTATGTGTCCATACAACAAAATCACAAAAGTCCTTCTCGCAAATGAAAATCTGAGCTTGAACCTGGGAATAGTATGGGTGATTCCTCTTTAGTCGTAGATCATCTCCAATCTTCTCCAGGCAAAAGTCCGTGTTGAGATTAGACAAGTCCTTCCCTTTGCAGCTGTATGGGCACTTGACCTCCACACATCCATTTCCACAACAGGCACATGAAACTAGGAGGTCTGGTGTTGCTCCAAGGAAAGGGGACCGGGTATCAATTGTAAGTCCGCACTTGCTGTGATGCATGTCTTGATGGTCTGCTGTTGTTTTCTTGATGTATGCATCAATGGCTGATTTTTCATGTTGACATCCCCAGTCTGTGGCCTTGCTTCTAAATTTTAAACTTTCTGGATAGCAAACTGACTTGATGACACTTAGCGATGGCTTCTCTGGATTGGTATGGCAAACAGCATGAAGACGGGACGCAGTGATTCTCCCACTCCTGAACCGAAACCAATCTTTACTGCTTGCCTGACTGCGAGTTCTCTCCTCCACAGCTGCTGCCTGGGATGCTGTTACTATGATGTCATCGAAGATGATGTCACACTGGTTGTGAAGTTCATCTTCAGTCATTCCAACATACTCCTCATTGTACAACTCTGAGAGCACTTTGGGAAGATGTACACTCAGTGAGGCAGGTTTGAAGTGTTCAGCATAGCCTGGCATCAGAGACAACAATACAGACTTTGACTGGCTCTCATGTAACCTCCGCAGGAAGCCATTCACTTCATCTTTGGAAGGGGTTGGTACATCATTCCTACGAGCTGCCCTCAGGGTTGGAGTTGTTGGAGTTGGTGGAGTTGTGATACTCTCGTCTAGTCTGCACTTTTTTGTAGAGGCTGAGGTGAAATCGATATCTCTGACTTCATCGTATGTAACCTTTTGTATCCCTGATGGAAGCAGCCAGTAAGCAGGGGACTGTGTCACTGTCTTAGAATTGCGGATCTTCACTGCAGCCTCTATCCAGAACAGCAATGCTCCAACATGGGTGCAGGTTTCCCCCAAGCCAGCCATGCATGTACAGTGTGCAGCAAGAATTGTTCCATCGGAATTGGCTATGACCCATGGTTGAAGTGGCGCTTCATTCATCCTCTGGGAGTGGCGTACCTAAAACAAATACATTAAACTCATATAAAGGATATATTGAAATGAAAACAGGATATTGATTTTTCAATTAAGCTAGCACACTGCTACCTCATATTCAGGGCAGATAATTCATACATCAAGAATAAAATACAGAAAATGTCTGAGATATGAATGCTGCCGCCGCCCCCATGTGAATTAAAAGTAAAAAGGAAATAAAAGAGGATCAATTTGATTTCACGACATGACGGCCATGGGTAAAATTATGGCAGGGATATAAGAAGAAAGACTTGCTCTAGAACTCCCTCCAAAAAAAAATAAAAATAGATAGATAATAAATAAGTAATTAAACAAAATTAATTAAATGAAAGATTTGCAGTATTTCTCACAGTCCATTACATACTTGTATGAGGACAAAATTAAATAGATAAACTCATTAAGTTTAAAATATTATGATAATGCTTTTTTTATATAGGCCTATATAATTTAGCACCCTTTCATACTAGGCCCACCAAAATTTCTTTATTGAAAATACTTTAACACTAGATTCTATTCAATCAAGCCTACTTTTTGTTATAACATTATACTTCATCTGA